GACATAAATAGCCTTTTCAAAGCACAGAGTTAAGTATCCAGTATGTTTATTGCAAACGTGCTTGCAAAGTTGCGCTCGTCTGTTGTCTAACTCGCCCGGTTTGGGCTGTAAATGTGTTTTCAGAGCAAAAGAAAAAGAAGGAAAGTGAACACTTACTGACGTGCAGCAGCAGTAGCATGCCTTTGCTTATTATAGCTGCTTACTGATGGGCTTTACAGAAACAGTCGGATGCTGATAGAGAGTTCAGGCAGGCTATAATATGATGGAGTGTGGTGGCACAGTAAATACAAACAGATTTGTCAGCTCTAAGTGCTCCACTGATATTCTGGAGTATTTAATTCAATGTAATGTAATGATTTAATTTCATGGTTCATAAGTCCTAACTGGTCAGTCAGCATTGTCTAGAAATGGATTCTGTCCTGACTACAGCAAATTGATTTAATCGAGAATTATTGTGTTACATACAGTCACCCAAATAAGCCGTTCTGGTTGTTGTAACAAGGTGTGTGGTGTTGCTACATGTGCTTCAGACTGATTAAACTCATTAACAGGTGATCATGGTCTGCTTTTAGAGAGCCTGGTAAAACACCAACGTGAAAAATACTTACTGTGTGCTTTAACACTCATTCTTTTTGCAAATCAGTTGCAGAATTAACCAAACAACCAGCCTAACAACAAAAATCAGGCTTCTTAGTTTGTTATTACTTGTTGTTTAGTGTAAATTGCCCAACATTAGTTCGAGATCGCCGTAAAGTTAAGATCAGCTGCCTTGCTGCCAGTTTACCTGATCTTAGCACCATCTTAGCATTCTGCATGACTCAGTTGTGACCATTCGGCACATCCATTTGGCAAATCTAATGTAGCTCTCTATTTTAGTTGCTTTAGCCTGCCTTGAGCTGCTATGCATCTGCAAGCCAGCCCACCCCAGCCCAGCTCTTCCCTTTTATCCCATATCTGAATGAATCAGTGTTGTGTTGTCTTGATGCCTGCTCTGTTCTGTGTTTGGATCTTGCTGTTGGGGTTCCTCCCTGCAAAAACCGACTCCTGCACATGGAAATACCAATACAAATCCAAACAGCCTGGACTATTATATGCTGGGATGATTCATCCTTATTCTGAGATTTGGGATCTTTCTCTACGAAGACGTTATGTCTGGGTTGAGCACTAAGCAGCATCTGCCCCTTCTGCACATGCACACACAAAGGTGTGTGATGGTTGCTTCTGGATGAATTCACGGTTAAAGTAGCTTCAACTTCAGTAGAAAAAATAGTTCCTGTTCTGTTGTGGTCTGAAATACTTATACACTTCAGTTGGACGATTTACATAAACTATAATACTTTTGGCTTTCCACTCCTCAACAGTTAATGCATGCTGAACTTTAATCCCTCATCCTTACTGTGAGTGAAAAAGAAAACTATATGTTAACCATCTTAAAATCAGACTTATTGAAACTACAGACAGCAGTGTATTAATGGAGGTATGCTTCTTAGTGAGTGGTGGTGGTGATGGAGGTTAGTTCTAGTAACAGATTTGTGAATTTCTATGTGCAAAAATACTGCACAGGTGTTTATAAGGCTATGTTTACAGTTCTGGACTGTCTGATATGATGACAGCATCTTTCCAGGTGGATCTGCAGTCATTGAAATGAGTGAGAGGCCTGTGCTGTGAATGAACGGCTAAAGTCCAAGTACAAAACCTTTAATATGCAAAGACACATATAGATGGTATTAGCCTCATGGTTAAAATCAGTCTTAAACCTACAAGAATCCATTGGCCATTACTGTGCATAAGACAAAGTGTTTCCTGCTAACCTGCTAGTGAAACAACAAAGCTTATTTGGCTGCACATCCACCTGCCTTTTTTCCACACTCTCCTATTTTCTAATAAAAGTGTTTCCCCCCATCAAACCTTCTGCTTCCACCTTGGAGAGTAAGTGCTGGCTGTGTACTCCTCGCACAGTCAGTCTATATTTACCCTCTGACCTGGCGGAGGGTGTTCATGTTCGGAAGCATGTAACAGCCAGATAGCAAAGAGCAACACGCTCATCCTGCCTCGTTCTCTTCGTTCCTCAAGTGTGTAATCGCACACCGTTGGTCTGCCTCTGGAGCTCCCCTCCTCACAGCGGTAAACATGCAGGAAGTAATTTTGATGATTTGCACTGCTGAGCCATAAATATATCTGTATGTAGAGTGTATTGAATAAATACAGGCTCACAGGTGTTGATACTCATACGTTATACGTGTAAAGCTAAACGAGGGAGCCACATCTTTCATATTTACACTTAAGTAATGATCCTGTTTCCAGCTCACCCATGCCTCTCCACCTCATCTGTTGTTTTCGAAACGACGCAAATAAAAAAGAGTGAAGATCTATACGGCAAAGAGAGCTGACGCCACATAAAGACCAGTCTCTGTAAAGTGGAATGATCAGTGATTTTATCACCCGTGTCATTCCTGCTCTGAAGCATCTCAGTAATCCCCTCTCCTCTGCTTTTCCGTTTTTATCCTCTGTCTGGGATCCTTAATGGTTTCTCTGGCCGCAGCCTAAATTGATAACATCTGTCAGCGTGGGACTAAGTGGAAAGGTGGACATCTTAAGAGAAGAAAGGGGAAGGGAAGAAAAACGTAACTGAGCATGAGAGTGAGAATAAGGGAAGCATGAAGTAAAAGGAAACTATGGCTTTGGCATAATTTGGTGTCTGTTAATCCAAATGTGACTTTGTGGTTTTATGAGATAGACTGAAGTCACCTGACAGCCTGGCACTTGGCAGGGCGTCAGCCAGCACGTATAAAGACATGGCTGAGGTTGTGGTAATTTAACTGAACTGGAGTGGAGTAACATGGAGTGACTTGATGTCAGTGTGGCCCTGTCGCTCCACACAGTAAAATGTGAATACGCTTACAGGTGATTGGTGTCAGGAATACTAATAATAATAGACTGTATACAGTGATCCAGTAACAACCACTACTTTCCCGTCAAGCTTGTAGTTCTGTACAACACATAACACAGTTTAAAGTGACACACTTGACACATTTACCTCTTAATGGCCCCGGTGGTTAATTGATGTCAGTTTACAACAGCTGCTGAACATTTTCATCAGCTTGCTTAAATACAATCATCATAAAAAGAAATGCTAACTCTTGCCTTGCTGTGTATACAAGTGTAACCAGTGTCAAAAATCACACTGATTCTCTTTTTTATTTTTTTAAGTGTATTAAAAATGGAAAAACTATAATGACAGTAGTTGTTCATAGAGTTTTCAATTCAAGTGTTACAAAATTGCACCTTTATTACTGGATACCATTTATTGCTATGATAAAGACGTGTACATGGTAAATGGTCTGATTCTTATACAGCGCTTTTCTACTCTCCCGGAGTACTCAAAGCGCTCTATACCAGCGGTCCCCAACCGTTTTTGCGCCACGGACTGGCAATATTTTCACAGACCGGCCTTTAAGGTGTCGTGGATAAATACAACAAAATAAAACTAGTACCGGTACCGAAAAAAAGAAGATTTATTCATAACACACATGAAAAGACCCAGGAAAACCGAGTTAACGATAAAAACCATACATTTCACACCTGAGCCTCAACTCTCGCGGCCCGGTACCAAACGACGGCCCGGGGGTTGGGGACCGCTGCTCTATTCAACATGCCTCATTCACCCATTCACACCCATTCTCACAAGCACTTTATCTATACGTAGTGCTTCCTAAGTACATTCACACTCCGGATGGATGCATCGGAGAGCAAGTTGGGGTTAGTATCTTGCCCAAGGATACTTGACCTGCACACTGGAGGAGCCAGATCGAACCACCAACCTTCCGATCAGTAGGTAACCAGCTCTACCTCCTGAGCTACAGCTACTCCTAGTGTACACTTGGTAATCACTTGAGGCTAAAAGTATAGAAGCACCTGTCTCAATGAATGAGGCATTAAGGTAAACAAAGACAATTTGCTTGATTATTGTCACTTAACATGTTATACTTAGAGGCTTCTAGGAAGTCAAATGTCACACAGCCACCATCTTCATTGCCACAGACACCATATATTTCGATTCAGGCTTCAGAACAGCCAGCAGATTTGCTCTTCAAATAAATATGCTACACTATATAAGCTTATATTCTGCTCACGTGTAGCTGGTTTGACAAGCCTAAGCAATTACAAAAAGGTATATGTCTAAAGCTTGACAAGACAATTGCAGTTCTTTGAGCAGAAAATAGTTTGAAAAGAACATTATATAAAAGTCTGTTTCCTGCTTGCTTTTTCCAAACTCTTCCATTAACTTTCGAGTAGGTGTATGGGAGCATTTGTCACACAAGCATGACTGGGGACTTGCACCTAAATTCATGAACTGGACAGTAAGCTGAAGAGTTAGGGGGTAAGAATTTTTATATCTACCCCTCTATTTCCCACTTCCTAGTCAAGAAAAAGGCTTCATCTGTTTCTCACCTAAGAAGGCAGGCGAGCAGATGACAACTGGGTTGATAAGATCCCCCGGGTAGATCACATCAACTGGTAGGACTCTGTTGTCTGCCCCGTGGGTGATAAGGGAGCTCTGTCTTAGTAGTCACTGTGCACAATGTAGCTGCAGGTCAGCAATCATAGCCTCTCTGACTTGAAGAGCTGGATTCACTGCTCCCCATTTCTGTCATGTTTTCTCACCAGGAGAGCGAGGCATGATAAAGTGTTTCCAGTAGTGGTCAGTTGTGTCTCCATCTGTGCTGACTGAGCCATTCAAGAGCTAAATGCATCACTTAAGACAGTAATAAATGTGCCATTACAATCAGAAGGTACTGGGCGACCCTCACAAGTAAAGTTTATCATCATAAAAGTATAAAGAGTTTTCAAGAGTGTGGAGGTCTATTGTATTGAAATAGAAATGGAAATAGACGTACTCTCCTGCTTCTGGTTTTTCCTCTCTGGCCTATGATGGCTTAATAAGAAGAAAAAAATAAGTTGTAGTTATTAAGACAAAGAAGAAGCATTCCCTTTCTTTAAAGCTGTAATTCATTTTGGGATCAACTTGAGAGAAAGGCAGATGTGAAATGTAAAAGTGAGGTCAGAGGTCAAATGTGAAACGATATTTGAATGCAAACTATAATGTGATATTTAGAATCCACATATACCAGTATCACTTCATAACTACTACCAATACAAACAAAGACAGTAAAACTTTAATTATTATTATTAAGACATTTTATGAAAGCTTGATCCTATTTGACATTGAAGAAGAGGTCAGAGGTCCATCATAGTGATGTGATACAAACAATGGCAGTAAGAAACATAGTTTTAAACAGCTCTGGATATCATTATTATCACTTTGACCTTCAGATCAATGCTTTGACTTTAAAGGAGAGGTCAAAGGTCAAATGTAACATGATCTTTGAAATCTTTAAACATTAGCTACTACATCCTGAAAACCACATAGTTTCAAATTTATGAGGCTTTTTTTTTAATCAATAAATCAGTGAGTTGACCTTAAAGACTTTGGTGGATGTCAGCCAAAATGTAACAGATTTAACACCCCCACTAAATTGATCAGAATTCATTCAATAAATTACATGAACGCTGCCAAAAACATAACCTCCTTGGCAGAGGTAAGTATGGCTGGCGTAAGGACAGTATATCCAGGGGGAGTTTTCATTTTTGCAGATGACTCTTATTTTTGTCAAATCCAGTAATACTTGTGCACTGGAGCCTTGCATGAAAGCTAATACCTTTGTCACAGCTGTTCACTCATCAAACTTTGAGGTCCTGAAGGTTGAGCATGAATGGGTCTTGTCCTTCAACAGACACAGGCGTGTCCTGATAAACACACGGCGACCATCGCAGACAAATGTTATTGTCAGTACTTTGGCCTTTAACATCTATAGCCCAAAGGGCTGCCAATTCCTTCATACTACCCTGCAGATTGTGCCACTGACACCTACCTGCAGCAGTTTCACAGCAGGGATCCGTAGCACTCAACTGCTGAAGTATACCTGCTTTTAAAATGTTCAGAGCTAGTTCAGTCATTAGGAAGGAATTGTCAGAAGTGCAGCTCCACATATAATGTGTGTAAGGATCCTCCAGAGGTAAAGATTGTTACAACCTATTTACCATCTGTATGAGCTGAGATACTCAAAGATGCCTGGCAGTAAAGGCAGTAAAAATAATATGTTACATCTGGAATCCTACCCAGAGCCCACTGTCTACAGCTGCAGGATTAAGGAATGTGTCTACTGGACACAGAGGTTCACAGGGCAGGTCAGAGCAAAACGAGATCAACTTATAAAGAATCTACTTACAATGCAAAAGTGGAAAAAAAGACACTGGCATCCGAGTGACGGGTTAATGCGGTTAATAACAGATTAGCTCGAGGCTATTAGATAACTGGACCCAGTCCCTCACTTGCTGTAACTACTGAGTAATTAGATGCAAAGCAAGCGGCAATCATGGAAGAATCTCTGGACATGCCTGATTTTGGCCAAAGCTGTACATATTTTCCCAACATTAAGAAGCAGGTGTGAAAAAAATCCTGGATTTGCCTGCAGCAGTCTCTTGAGAGCAGGTGGATCAGGGCACAGAGTCTCTCAGAAGTATGTTGAGAGGCAAGACAGATCAATTCATCACGAGTGGAAGACTTTCTCTTGGTATGCACCCTTCCCATCGGTCACTGCTTCACTTCATCCTCCAAATGTGTTTGATCAATGAGCCAGTTTGGATTTTGTTGTCATATGAGGGGAATGTTCAATACTTTTAGTGCTTCGGTGGATTACCGCCAGAATTAGAGACCAAAAGAGGGAAAAGGAAGAGAGAAATGAAAGGAAGGACAGGAATCCAAAGGTGACGTTTTGATACCCAGAGCTGGTAACCTTTCAGCTAATGAGTGGTTTGGAGACTCATATCGCTGGTATTGGCCTTTATGGAGTTCAGAGGACAGCCTTTAAATGTGTTGACTTTTTCCTTACCTTTATTTAGCCTGGATGGGCTGGCTGAGGAGCACTTGCACTTATACAGCAGTACCCTTCCACTTAATCATAGGTTGGGAGACACAAAACACGATTCTTTGGGCCAATTATAACCATTATTTAACCTAAAGGACCATAAACCAGTGGTTTACTGCAACTAAATGTTTACATGACCTTCTGTAATGATTCCATAAAAAGTGGAAAAATGATTTTCATTTATCTGAATTGTAGTAGCACGCACTGTTTTATCTGTTTGTTGTTGTTTTCTGCAGGTGGGGAGGTGACCAAGCCGCGGTTCACTCAATATTTCCGGGGAAGCCTCTCTGGACTGACCATACGACCGGGAAAGATTGAGAGTCAGAAAGTCATATCCTGTCTGCAGGCCTGCAAAGAGGGACTGGACATAAACTCCCTCGAGAGTCTGGATAAGAGTATAAAGGTACACAGAGATAAAGGAGGTGTTTCAAAAAGAGGGACTGCAGTAAAACCTCTCATCTTGGTTTAAAGTGTCAGATAATAGTGCAGATCACATCAGTTCAGTGAAGAGGATGGATATTAAAAGAAACACAGGATGGGCTTTTTTCAGTGTTTTAGATACCAAAAGCCAAACAATAACTGAATGACTCGCTGAATTCAAGTGCGGTACTGTAACAGGATCCCAGTGTTGCCATAAGTCAGTTCATGGAATCTCCTAGAGATTCCTCAGTCAGGAAGTAAAGTGTTTAAGAAACAAACCAACTCAGTCATGAAGTTGCAGACCACATAATGTTACGGGGTTAACACTCCGTAGGTGTTATGTGTATGTGACCCAGTACGTTTGTCAGTATAGCGTAATGTCACAAGGAAAGTGTTGCATATATACATGTAAGTGGTTCAGCTGTTATCCAGACTAACAAAGGCTACGGTCATCTGCGCGTTCCTGAAGCACACCAGTCAGCTTGTACCGTATTACCTGTGTCTACCCAAACAGTGTCGCCACCTGATTAAGCAACTAATGAAGCAGTGGAGCACAGGGGAAGAGACGAGTCGGGTTCTTGCCTTCCCGGCCCTCAATAAAATCTGCCGCCAGAAGCAGGAAACGTACCTCAACCCCTATTCTTAAGCAAGTGTACATTTCTTATGTACAAAACTGCAAGTTCACGTCTCCCAACGTGCTGCCCATGATCAACTTCATGCAGAGAACTCTAACAGAGATGTACAGCCTGGACACAGAGGTCACTTACCAGCACTTCATCTATATCCGACAGCTGGCCAGTTACCTTAGAAACGCCATGACCATGAAGAAGAAAGAAACGTATCAGCGCCTTTGTTGGGATTTGGCGCTGTATAAATAAAATTTAATTAAATTAAATTATATATTAGAAGTTGTTGGCTAACAAATTGCTGTATTAAAAGTAATCAAATGTAAACGTTTTGTTATTCCTAAGCAGACAGAACAAACTATGCTAATTCAGGTTCTAATATGAAGTACAAAATACATCTACTTCAATTCTTATACAAACACTATAATGTGTTGATCAATAAATGTAATGGCAACCAAACCTGGCTTTCCTGAAAATCTTCAACTACCTTCTTCTTCTTCCCCTTTTTCACTGGCGTAGCTAATTGATCGCACTGTGCTGTGCAAGATAGATTGGGCTTTGTGTGGACTCAAAGCCATCGCCCGTAAGCACCCTACCACTCTCAGCTCCTTTATTCTTTCTCCCTCTTCAGCTTTTCCCTCTCCAGCAAACTCCAGATCCTTCTATAGAGAACCTTGTGCTGTGGCGCAGCAAAGGGATGCTTGCCAGCCTTTTGAAAAGGCATGCTGGGATGAGGTGGAGGATATGAGAGAGAAGAGGAGAGCCTCTCTAGGGCCAGTGCAGTTTATCTTTTGAGAGCCATTTAATTTTCTCCTTAGCCACACACTCATCTGGCCCCTGGAAGTCCACGGGAAGCTTAGCCAGGCAGGTGGACAGCTGGCACTGCACGATCAGAGGAGAATAACAGGCAGAGAGGCAAGTAGACACAAAGTATAGACAGAGAACAGAAGATGAGAGGAGACAGAAAGAAGTGTGAATGGGGAAAATGACAGGGCACGGGGACTGTATAGAGCACCACAGAGAGGAGGAGTAACTTCACCCTGGTGCTGATACCCAGTTTTAGAAAATAGGAACTACTCATTGCAGTTCTGGCAGGAGAACACTGAATCCTTTTTGAAGTGCGAAGGCTTCAAATCGCTACCATCAAACTCTGCAGGAGAGCACACAGCTCTGTAAAACCAGCTCTACTGTGTGTCTCTATGTTTACGATATTTACTAGTACATGCATATTCCCATTATTATCATACTGCCATGTTTAGTTATGCCAGGTTTTCATTTATTTCAGTACAGTATGGAAGCAGAACTACCTTGAAACAGGTGATCCATCACAGTGAACATCGGATGTGTTTGTTTTATGCCGTTGCATGGTAAAGCAGCGCAGCCGTGATGTTCACTTTGATCGATTGCCTGATTCAAACAAGTTGCGAGTCTCTGCAAACTAATGCGTGCACCACTGTACAGTGAAGCCTGTAGAACACAGGGACTGCCTGGAAACAAGCAGAAAGGTAGTGACCTTTTATCATTTGCAGAACCGCTGCTGAAATTATTCAGTTTTTACCCCTCAGGCTGATGGAGTATTGCTGTCAACCCGCCAGGCAGGCGGGCAGCGTGGACCCCCAAGTTTGTGAATATGATAACTCGAGGAGGTGACATAGGATTTTGAAATATCACACCATAGGTGCATCTACTAAAAATCTCAGATGAGTTCGAATCTCAGTGATGCTGACCTCAAGGATTTTCAAATTTATACCATAGGTGCATCTGCCTGAGGGCTGGGCATGATAGTGCTACCATGGGATTATAAGCACCCTTGCCTCTTGTTGCATCACAAATATCAAACACTATACACTAAAGGTTCAGCAACAAAAAGTTGTTTTTCTGGGTTTCAGGCGCAGGAGCCTAAGCACAGAAATCCAGAGCTCCCTCTCCTCATGCAACCTCCTCAAGTTTACCCAGGAACGCTTGAATCGTGACCCTGAATGGGATAAGTGAAAGAAATACATTTGAAAATGTTGTTTTTTCTAGTCTTTTCTACTCTCAGTATAAGCCACATTCACTTGGCCAAACCCACAAACACATATAATAAACAGATGACACATATCTTGGGCAAACATGCAGACTTGAGGATCTGGATTTTGAATAAAGCATCTCAGATTATTGGATAAGCTGTTCTTCCTTCGAAGCCGCAGCCACCTCTGAAATATCCATATAGTACCGCTTCCATTTTATTATTTGATCTTAAGGCCACGACTTAAAATCGTTGGAGTTTAATCACATTACCACACAGAAAACCGTGAGCCGCGCGGTATTTAAACGGTAAATTTTGCACAGAGAGTGGAATCTGTACCCCTGCCCCCCCCCTCCTGCAGCAGGTTAATCTGCCCATGCCCTGCACGCTTTCACTCTGTCAGCTTTCGTATGCACAGGCTAATCTACAGCATCTCAATTAGAGCTGACTGATTTCAGTTTTAAATGGCTCTGTTCCCACGGACATTTTATCATCTGCTGTGTCAGTTCTCGCTCTCCGTCTAACATCTGTGTTTTCTCTCTCCCTAGTTTCACTTTAACCCAGCTCAATCCATCCTGGTAATGGAGGGCGAGGACTTGGAGAACATGAACGCCGCTGTGAGGAAAGTTTCCTACATAAACTCCCGTCAGTTTCCCACACCAGGCATCCGACGCCTGCACATCTCCACTACCGTCCAGTGAGTACGCCGCCGCGTTCGTCTTGTTCTTCGCCTTGTTTTTTCACCTTTATCTTTACTGAAATCTGCTTCGTGTGTGTGTCTCTCTGTCGTTTTTTTTCTTCCTACACGACGATATTTGATTCCTTTAGTGTTCACAAGCTTTCTCTGTTTCTGAGTACCTGCTCTTTAAGATATTCGCCCACCTCGACACTTCTGTTAAAACAACACGGCAGACATCACACCGCGACTGATATATAATTCCCTTTCCGCGCATTGAAACCCACCCCTCCCTCTGTTTCTCGTTTTCCTCTGCTGTCGCTTCCCCTTTCCTTTAATACACCATTTTCGGTTCACTGTCGCCACCGGGGGCTGGTTTTTACATTTTCATGTCATGTATTAATAATTCTGCCTGGATTTTGCCAGAGGAACGAGGGGAAGAGAGATGCAAAAGGAGAGGGCGTGTGTGTGTGCGTGTGTGTATGTGTGTGCGTGCTTGCGGGCGCAAGGCACAGAGAAGAGAGGCTGGCTGGTAAAACAGCCTCCCTTGGCGGGTTACCATTAAAATTCATGATTGTTTTAAATATATGTAGACCCCTGCAGCACAGCCCTGGGGTTTCACTCTCCTCCCTCCCGATGGGTTCGATGCACAGCGGCAGGCCCGAGAACTTCAACTAACACAGCAGAAGAGTGTGTGAGTGTGTGGATGGATGAGTATGCGCATGTTGGTGTGTGTGCTGCGCAAGCTGCTGGTGATGAAGCAGAGTCGTAGCTGGAGGCGCACCGATTATCAAGGAATACATTATGCTAATAAGAGCTAAGCTTGCATCATTGCTAAATGTTGTTTAAATGAAGTTTTTCCACAGACTGCTGACTAGTCTGCGAGTTGCCGCAGCTGTGCGTGTGTGTGTGTGTGTGTAAAATAAGGAAGAAAACACTACTTGAGGACATGTGTGGCTAATGTTTAAAAATGGGGTCCACTCAAAAGCATGTTTAGGGGATGAGTTTTATTTAAACATCCAGTTTGATTCCAGAAAAAAAAAGACAGTAAATCTTGCCTTTCAGCTCTGTTAGTTACACTGAGAGTCTGGAAATTGGCATCAGCGGGTGAACAAACTTCGTTCACTGCTACAGACAGCATGGCTTTACACAAATAAACAGAGATGCTAAATATTTCCTGGCGATGCAATTAAACTCTTTCTTGCTGACGCCTAATAAGCCAAATTACTGCAGGCACTGAAAATATAATTAGATGAACAACGCTAATCTTAACAACAAGGATCATGGGTTCCCCTCGTCCTCGGTCTTGTTTTTTGTCACAGAGAGCGGTTCAGACACGGAATCTGAACTAGAACGTGGAATTTTATTGATTCTGCGTTCTAGATGCTGTGGAATCAATAAAAGTGTAAACATGGCGTCGACGGTGCATTATTCTCGTAGCACAAAAACACAAAAATGGAGACGGACGCTTCCCGGACAGGTGCTTTCAGCTGGCCCTGGGGCTCAGATGTGATTGGAGAAGTGCTGCAGATTACAGATCTAATCAGCCAGAGAGAAAACACCTGTGTGTGTGATCGAAGTCCAGGTGTGACTAATGACATTAACACTGGCTGTGGTTCATTAAGGTATCCCACAAGCCTTTGCCAGTGAGACACAACGCACAGCACTGGGACCCCCTTGACACGCACCTGTGCTTTTTCCTACTAAAACTGGTGAAAATACCGGTCTGGAAAAACATTACTGCACATGCCCACTCGAGATTGGCCGTGGAATGTTCAACGCGAGGGTGAACAATCACGACTCGATACGACATGGCTTGTGTCGTAGGCAGTCGTGGTCTGGGATGCAAATGTCCAAAACTTCAGAAATGGAAAAATATACGCAATACGTCCCAGAAAATGAGTTTTAAGAATCATTTTAAGAATTCATACGTAATGTTGTGTTATATATGATATTATAAAAAGTTTGTATAGCCATCACAGCACCAGCATTTTGTATAAAAAGACATACTACCAGTAATGAAAAGCATTCCCCTATGAAAGATTTAAAAAACACAAAGTTCAAACTATAAAAATTGGTTTAGCAGTGTAACACAGAGACATGTAAGAGACAAGTAAAGACTGAAACAGTGTACCTCAGTGGTTAAGAATAAAGTAAAGAATACCAAAGTGCTCACATGGTGGAGAGGTGGATAGCACTGTAGCCTCACAGCAACACGGTCTTCAGTCTGGCCTTTTTGTGTGGAACCTGCATGTTCTCATTGTGTCAGCGTGGATTCTCTTTGATATCCTCTCATAGTCCAAAGACATGCAGTTAGTGGGGTAGTTATTAAATTGTTAGTAGTTATTAAATTGCTCATAGGTGTGAACGCGAGTATAAATGCTTGTCTATCTCAGCTGGGATGGGCTCCGTGACCCTGAATTGGATAAGTGGACGAAAATGGAAGGGCTATATTAACGTGTATTATAAGAAACTCTACATAATGTTTCTTTATAGCTGATTTAAAAGAAGGCAAAGGTCTGCAGGCAGGGCGTTTTACAATAAGTCTCCCAAACAGCAAACACTCTGTAGTCTATTGTGTGTGTGAACAGTCAGATTTCTCCTGCAGAATCTCAGGCTGCTCACTGAGGCAAGAGTTCCAATATGTTTCCTTGAGCCACGAGGGGCTTTAAATGTGAGACATAAAATTTTAAAATGTATTCTAAAACAAATGAGCAGCAAATGTAGAGCCGTTAAACGAGTGTAATACGTACACTTGTCTTAGTTCTTACAAGAAGTCTTGCTGCTGCATTTTGAAACATTTGAAATCTATTAAGTGATTCTTGATTTACACCAGTTACAAGACCACTGCAGCATGAATAATCATTTCAGTATCGCTGAAACTCAGTGCTGATCAAACGGTAGTAGCTGGACTGAGAAACCTGCTTTGTATAGTTCTCAAAAGTGAGGTTGAATATCACATAGCACACCCAGATTACAGACAGTTAATTTAGCATTAACTATCAAAAGACCAAAGAAAGACGTAAAAATGTTTTCTCCCGCCTGGCTTGCAGTGTTGCCAACTCTAGATGTGTGAAATCAAATTCGAAGAAGGTGCTACGCCAAAAACCTCCTCGTCATTGCTGTGGTTGCTACCAAATTGTTACAGTTGGCTGCAGTTTCTTACGTTTGTCTGCAAACACTTGCTAACTACTAGCCATAAGGTGCAACTTTTATTCTGATGGTCAGACCGTCTCCTGGTCTGTGTTGCACTTACCACAGTGTCAGCACAGCTTGGACAACTCACTTTCATTTAAAGTACAACCACAGCAAAATGCTAAAAGCCAAAGCAATCCCAGTGAGGATTTTTCCAAACGATTAGAGAATACATGTTTTTCCTTAGTGACAGGTGGTTGCCATGGTGGTCACTTACCGGTCCATAGGCTTGTGTGCCTGGGGATTTAGCAATCATTTTCCCAGCGACTGCCATCAACCTCCAGCGACCGGTAATGAAATATACATTTTTCCCTCACAACCACTGGTTAACAAATGGTCATGGACCAGTCTCTAGGCATGTGTGACTGGGCTCTTACACTGTCACTATGAATCTCAGGCATCCAGAATGGTGGTCACATGTCTGCAAAACCTCAGAAAGGAATGCTTATCAGGTTGTTAGTCTTATACTCACTGTAGCTATATCTGTGTGGGAGTCATCTCGACTTCTGATGTTTTTAAATGTCAGTAATTACTAGTAGTTATTATTATAGCATCGTTCCAACTATATGAGACTTCAATCTTTCTGCTTCTCCGTAACAGCAGGAGCACTCTGAGTGATAGTGATGTGTATATGTTTATATACGAGCAGTCTGATAATAAAACACACACTATAAAGATGTTCTTCTAGAAGACTCTGACTAACATAACAGGGCTAATAAGCTGTTCTACCACACAAAGCTATAATCAGATCAAAAAGTTTAACAGCTATTACGTAGTAGGATGCAAATGGCATGTCATGTTTATATGAGGACTAAATGAGTGGTTTAGTAATCACTGCAAAATGCAAGCTGTAAACTGAAAGTCTGGTTGTTTGCCATGCGACCTCAATTTACCAATAATTTCAGTGTAGGAGCACATGACATTTTTTACCCGTCAAAACAGTCTTGCAAAGAAAGGTTCATGAAGCCAGCTGTAAGCTAGTTGTAGCTTTGCTGTGTCGAGTGTCTTTTAAATCAGACAAGTGTCTCCAAGAGATTCCTGTTAGGTTTGAAGTTTGTGGGCTGACACGTTCTTAACCAAGCCTACAATTTTTGCTTGGTACCTAGAGGAGTTTAAAAAACAAGGACATGGAACAGACAAAACAGCTGAGCTGTAGTTCAGAATGTAAA